TAGACTTGTTTTCAATATTTCTATAGATACAACCTAAAATCCTATTTGCCCTACCACTAGGAACGTCACATTGCTTGGATGGCTTTAGAGGCTGATTGACTATTACACCAAGATCCCTTTCCTTCATAACACATAAATTATACTTATAATTTAAATTATGATAACCCACATGCATTATCTTGCATTTATAATAATTAAAATTCATATGCCATTTATTTGCCCAACTCACTAAATGATCTATGTCCTTTTGTAAAGCAGCAGCATCTTTTTCACAGCAACATCCAAGATCTTAATATCATCAGCAAATTTAAGTAATTTATTGACCATTCCTTCATGTATCTCATTGATGTAAATCAAAAAAGAGCAAAGGCCCTAAGACTGAGCAATGAAGTACTCTACTTGTGACATTAATCCAGTTTGACTGAACTCCATTTATAATAACCCTCTGCTTTCTTCCATTCAGCCACTCTTCTATCCAATTAGCTAACTTATCCCCCACACCAATAGAGCTAATTTTTTTACAAGCCTTTTATGTAGTCTCTTTTGAAAGGTGTTTCTGAAAACTGAGATACACCAAATCTACACATTTACCCTCAGCAGTTACCTTTTCAAAGAATATCAAAAGATTTGTAAGGCAAGATTTTCCCTTAGTGAAACCATGTGGACTATCCAATAAAATTCTAAACTTTGTTAAAGCAACTTTTATCAGACTTTCCAAAACTTTTCCCACAACTGATGTAATAGTAATAGGCCTATAATTACTGGAACAAGCTTCCAATCCTTCCAATCACCTGTCCACTATTTAGGGACTTACAAAAATTAGTAGCAAGTGGCTCACATATCCAATCCTTAACCTCCAAAACCCTTGGGGAAATATTATCTGACCCAGGAGCCTTATCATTTTTTAAACTTCCCAATTTTTTCTTAACAAGCTCAAAATTAATGCAATCATATTATCTGACTTTGTTTCCATCTATCAACTGTTCAAAATGAGGAATACTTATTAAATCTCCATTAGGAAAGACTGAAGAAAAAGCAGAATTTAATAACCTAGCCATCTCATAACCATCAGATACAAGCCTTCCTTTATAATCACTCAAGAGTCCTACCCCAATCCTAACATTTTACTTACCCTTAATATGTACTTAAAGAAATTCTTACTGTTAACTCTATCGCCTCGGGGTAACCTTTACTGCACGTGACACAAGGTTTTAGTGTCTTACATTTAAAATTTTATTATACTACTTTTTCTTCATGTTATACCAATTACAATAGTATAAAATATTAGTTAATAATCAATATTTTAATAGTATACAAGTTTTAAGTTCTTAATTCTACAAGGGA